TTACTAACTTGAATTTTCCTTATACGCTTCCGTACTATATTTATGTATATGTTCTTTTTTTCTTTGGGGGGGGGGGAGAGACGTTTTGTTTGGTAAAAGTAGACCTGGAATGCATCAAAGTTTTTAAAATTTTGTCACAGAAAAGGAAAGTTCATCATCCTGTTTAGTAATTGTGTTGAGATAAATCAAAACAAGTGTATTTTCATATAAAAATGCCTTTGGTTTGATTTATCTCATCGCAATGGTATTACTTTCGATCTAATTTTTCGGACTGTTTTGAGTATCAACTGATGTATCAACGATGTTGTGATCATTACCAGTACATTTACATAGTGTAGATCTTCTTGTGATTTCAGCTTGTGGCCTTAAAATCATTTTGTATAGAAACTAAAGAATATTGTGCTGCTCATGGACCTCCGGGTAAGGATTAATTAAATATTATGAATCTAGTGCGATTTCACTTGGTGATGCCAAGTTGAATACAATAGTTCCTCTTGAGCAGAATTACTTCGAATTACCCTCAAGTTCTTGTTTTAGATACATTGTAAATGAAGATATGAAAGAAAAAGAAAAGAAAGTATATTTTTCAAGGATAACAACTTTAGTTCTACATATTACCTTATATTCGGCACGTTATCAATTGACCATTTAATTTTAAATAAGTGGTAATTGTGTGATAGTATTGCCACCCTTCACCAAGAATGTTTCTATACCTGGAAAAGTATATTATTCGTACTCTGAATTCATGCTTACGCACTGGAAATTGGTCGCCTGTTAAATTGCTTCGAATGAAAAAATATGCATATTTGAAGCTTTGATTAATCAAATTTACTTTCAAATTTCCTTTGGTCTTAAGCAACATTCAAAATATCGATAATACAAATTTTCTTTCGTGTTTGTCATCTCTACCTATAACGGGTTTCCTTGGAGTTTTTCTCACGGGCTGTAATTGTCAAATCTTCATTGGTTTCATCTTATTGGTTTCAGTCTATATTGTTCTAATTTAAACCATTGGACTACGATTTCAATACATGACACACTTTGTAATACTTGTATTTATATATAAACAATGAACTGTGGATATTGATCTTTCAAGATGACCACCACTGTTCGCCAAAATGGGATTGTGTGGTAATGATTGTATTTATGTCGCTATGCACCAACTGATCAATTTGAAATTTGATTGACGATTAACTGGTATATTCTGCAAAATAAAGAAGCATTGTTATTTTTTACTTCATGATGATTTAAAGTGTGTGCGATTAGAATTTGTACTCGTAAATTTCATTAAAATAGTGTATTTAAATTTTACAAGTACGAATCTTGGTGATCTATGCACACAATTACAGCCAATTCAATTGTTTACTAAAACTCTTACAAAATCTCTTGATTGAAATTAGAAGGCGCCCAATTCCTTGGAAGATATTTCTTAAAATGAAAACCGGAACAGGTCTTAATCATCAAATTATAGGACAGGATTTTGAGTGTGTATTTTCATTTTCGATAGTTTCTAAGACGTCACAGTTTTCAATATGCCCAAACGACACTTAATACACTCATGTCATAACGAACTAGAAAATCTGCAACCATCTGACTCATATTTTTGTTTTAGGACCACCCGGTGTGCCTGGTGAGAAAGGTGAACAAGGTGAATCAGGTAAATGTTTATATATTATATTATACCTAGGAGTAGAATAGTCCAAACTTTTGACCATTCGTAACCAAAAATTATTTTTGTACTGGGAAATATTTGGAGACTGAAACCAAAATTCACCCTGATAGGTCTACAAGAAAATAATAAAGATGTTTTTCTTAGATAGATAGAGGTTATTTTTGGAATTTTTCACATTTTTTCTTTAAAATGGCAGAATGTAATAATCTTTTCCACATTTGTAGAGGTTTTATGCCTCCATCAAGATAGCATAGCATAAGAAATCGTCCTGTTCTGATAGGTTATATGAAACATCTATTTACTTCATTAAAAAGTTCTATGCTATATTGCTTTTCAGGATTTCCTGGTGTTGCTGGTCCTCCGGGAAAGAAGGGAGATACTGTAGATCATAATTTAGTAGCAATGAATTTAAGAAGTGATGAATACTTAAGAGGTCCACCAGGCCAAAAAGGTTTGATCTCTTTATTATATGAGTTGTTATTGCAAATTTGTTAAATATATGATATTAAGCAATAGTTGGTTAACCTTAATACTATCTACGGTGAAATATTTCCTTTAATAACACCAATATATCTGAAAATCTTCTTTTAAAAACTTTTGATAAATACGTAAATAATACGCTTTCTGTTTCATTATACTGACAAGAGCGAATCATAACTTCTATCCATATGAGTACAGGGAAGAGTGGCGAAGCCAATATATGTGTCAGAATGCACAAAATAAATTTTATTTTCGACTGTCCATGAGAAGCTTGCGACTATGATTCCTCCGCAGAGTTGCCGCATTTTGAATTCAGCCTCGACAGAACACCTCCACCCAATTTTCAATTAAAATGGAATTAGATAATATAAAAAAACTCATCCAACTTTATGGAATTCTCAATATTGAGACATTATTACTAACATGTACCTTATGTGATTATCTTGAAGTAACTTTGAATTCTTTTATTGAAGGCGACACTGGTGATCCTGGGGTATTTGGTCCTGAAGGTCCTGCTGGTAAGCCGGCTGAAAAGGGTGACAAAGGCGAACGAGGTAATGATGGTAAAGATGGACTTCCAGGTAATTGAGAAAACTGATAGATATTTCGGAGAGAAACACTACCTTGATCAACCTTATAGTATATACTCTGCATATATGTCTGCATCAATCTTCCTTAACAAAGACAATCTTCCTAATCTAACAACATTATATCTAATTTCTCTAATTATTAACAACAATGTCATTTTCAATAAACCATTTCATAAGCGTTCCTTGTTGCATGAACCCTAAAACCTATATAATATAATTGATTTCCAGGTCCCAAAGGGCAGAAAGGTGAAATTGGAGAGAAGGGAACTCGAGGATTGCTCGGATTCCCCGGATTTAAAGGCTCGCCAGGTTCAATGTTTAATGATATTTACCTTTAAAGATTTTTTAATAAGGGCATTATAGCACGTTGCACTGTATCATTAAATCATTTCACTATTTCGATAGTATCTACATCATCTTTAATTGTGCAAAAGTATCAGTTAATGAAGGTTATGTGGAAGGTAGTAAGTGACGCATTAAAACTGCAGCCTTTTCATTGTCTACATTGGCATTTGATTTATTTACATATGAAATAAGCTTGATTCTTAGACATTCGGATGTATCTGTCAATGGCATCATATTTTCTCATTCGAGAATGTCAATTGTTTGTTAAACTATTTAGAAAGTTCAGTATTTTTAATGATTGAAAAATTTAATTATTTTATCAGAGGGTTGTATTCAAAATAACTTCAATCGTTTCCAGGTCCCGAAGGGCCGATGGGGCCTTCCGGAAAAGAAGGTCCTTCGGGAAAAGATGGCATTGATGGTCTTCCGGGTAAACCAGGTAAGAATGTTTTTTATTCATGTGTTGTTCGGTGTTAAGAGTGACTTTTATGTAAAGCACTGGCCAAGGTCACAAATAAAGAGATAAATGTTCAATACAAGATAAGGTGAAGTTAGCATAGTTAGTATTAAGTTAAAAAAAACAACCACGAGTAATCTACAATAAACAAAAATCTATAATATGAAAGTTTTCTTGTTACCAGTTCTAAAAGAAAAGAGTATGAATAGGTTCTGAAAAGATAAACATCTACTTTTAAGGATTAGAATATATTATACTTAATGAGCTAGAAAATAGAGAGGGGGGTCAAGTATTATTGGATTCAGTGGGATCGAGTCTACCACGGACCAGAAAATTACTAAGGTTTTTATCGCGCTTATAGGCAATTACAAGTCGTTTGGTATATAAATTCGGAAATCTGTTCTGTAATTCACTGTAATACTGTTTGACGATGGATGAGGTTTTGGCAGCTGTATGATTAAAGGTGGCAACAAATGGAATCATTTGATTATCATGCTGGATGTTAAGTCCATTTGGAGCCACTGTTTGGAGTTGGTCCATCCAGTAGATTTATCTCTGTAATCGTTTGGTTTTTGGTTTGATAAGATCAGAGTCAGGAATTGATTCAATAGGCATGATAAGTAGGTCTTCAATGGAATGGTCAGGTAAATTAAAATGATGAGAAATTGGTCTATTTTTGCTATGAATTATATCAAAGCGATGGCCGCTAAATCGAGTTCGCAACGCGTTCTGGGTTTCGCCGACGTATTGTTTGTCACATTTTGTACACGAAATTAGGTAAATGATATTTTTATCCGTACACGTGAGACGTTCTTTAATTTCAAATATTTTTCCGTTTTTTTTATTTTGAAAATAATGAGACATATGGATATGTTCACAGGTGCGACACCGAGAACCTCTACATGGTATTGCGCCAAAGGTATTAATTTATTGGAGGAGGGGGTTCATTAATTTTCAAAAGGTCCAAAACAGTGTCATTTTTAATTTTGCGCAAGAATCGTTTGGAATAGCCCCTCTCTCTTAATTTACTGAAAACTAGTCTACAAGCTGCATCAAAATCTACTTTTTGAGTGCAAATTCTAAAAAAACGCAAAATTTGTGATTTGATTATTCCCGTAAAAGTATGTTTTGGGTGAAAAGAGTTTTTATATAAAAGTTGGTGAGTATCCGTTGGTTTAAAAAATACTTTGATGTCTAATTTGTTTGTTTGAGAGAAACTTGGTCCTTTGAATACCGTAGTATCCAAAAAATCCATACTTTGTTCAGAAATATTCGCAGTTAGTTTTACAGAAGGGGGGTGATTCGGTGTAATTCTGGGAATTCCCCAATATGGCATACTGATTTTCGACCGAATTTTAAGTAAGTACGTTTAACTTGTAGAGGACTTATATTCATATTACAGACTTCTTTAACATTCATGTAAATAAATGCATTTTTAAAGGTGAACCTGGTAGAAACGGCACAGATGGGTTAATAGGTAAACGTGGTAAGAGAGGAGAGAAGGGTGATAGAGGACAAAAAGGAGAAAGGGGTACAAGTGGTGTTCCTGGAGTACCAGGTTTAAAAGGTCTAAAGGGTAATATGGGAGATCGAGGGTGGCCCGGAGATAAAGGAGAGTGTTTCTGTAAGTCACAAATTATGTAACTTTTAATATTTTTGTCAAGAACATCGTCGATAATTGTCCACTAAATCTACTTAAGATTTGTTGTAGTCTTTTAGGGTGTAACTTATCACAATATTTCATACAATTTAGTCAACCAATCTATGAAAACAGAATATTCTTAACAATATTGTTGGTTGATATTTTGGAATAAGAAGAATTTCAGACATATTAAATATATGTGAAGACATGGGAAATGCACACCGATTTACACAACATTAATAATGAATAATTCTAAATCAATCTTTAATTATCTCCACTATTTGATCATTGTGGCTTTATTACATTTATAGGTGAAGTGACTGAGACAGGTAAATATATATTTATAATTTGATCCTTGCATTGTTTTCCTCTTAATTTTAAAATCTTACCATTAACTTATTAAATACATTATTTTACATACATTAGTCATTTGGACACAAATAAAAGTCGGACAAATAGCTCCTGCCAAATCGTCAACAAAGACGTATAAGCAGTGTCCAAAGGAAAAAAATTGCATGGGCAGTACCGTGAATCTACTCTGCAAGAAATTGTTCAAAGATTACAATTTCGAAAATAATGTTGTATGTAAGTCACAAACTTGCCCAATTCCACGATGACCTGGTAGATAATAGCATCAACCATCTTCCATTAATTAATATCTTGTTCTGTTTTTGTTAATGCTTGCCATTTAAGGATATGAATTTTCAGGATCGCGAGGACCACGTGGTAGTAAAGGTGATAAAGGTGACAAAGGTTTTTGTGAAGGTAAGAATCATGAAACTTTTTAATTGGTTAAGACCTTCAATCGTCAGAATTGTAAAGGACATTACCAGAGGAACATTGACGATTTTTTTCCCTCATTGTAAAATTTGATTAAATTATTCTCAGTAAATTATCGAACCCTATTTTGGAAGTTCAATGCATGAAAAGTGACGCTTAAGCTCATTTTCTTTAGAAACCCTGCTTTAGAGTGTTAACGATCATCAATGACTTTCGAAGAATAGATTTTCTGAAATGACTGAGTTTAAAGTCGAACAGGTTTCAATGAACAAGGGACATTACTAGCATGAACTATTTTTCGTCTTTTTCTTTCTAGTAACCATACTAAGTTTTATCAAAATGTGCCAAAAACTATTCTGAATTTAAATCAAGACGACTGTCAGAAATTCTGAAATATTTTACATTCTGTATCGTTCCAGCTTTGTTACAGATTTTCTGCAGCTCTGATTAGCTGTATTAGCTAGCGTACAGTCCAATGAAATTGCTGCATTTACAAACTCACATGATACAAGAAAGCTATTACAATCTAGATATGAGACAAAGTTTGTAATAGCTTGACATTGTGAAGACTGGGTATCCCGAGCGAGTTGCTGTATTTGTAACTTAACAAAACAGTTTTATATCATATTAGGGTAATTGGATCTCGCTCGATTTTACAGGATACTTCGAGACGTTCAGAATTTGGGTCTTGATTGATACAATATTGATATGTTCTTCCGGTGAAACAACTCGTATTTCCAAATATATTCGAAATTTGAGAATCTTCATTTCCGAGAAAATGTCCTTAGTTAATCTAGGTTTAGAAATCTGATAAGATGGTATTATTCTATTTCAATTTCTTATCAAAAATTCCTGTTGTAAAATCACTCAAAAGGCTTTTAAGTTTATACGCATACTGCACGTTATGACGACTATCCTGATGAAAGTGTTGCTATTAAATCCCATTCACTTAACCGGCAGTCGGATATCGATTTTCACATATCGGACATCATAGAAACACATTTCTTTTTGAATATACAAGGAAACAAATAAATATCCCTCTTTCTGTCTGCCTTTTCTTTCACTTTTCGTCTGTATGAGAATCTATAATAACTGGATAGGGGAGATTTAACGGAAAGTAATACAAAGAAAGGCCTTTTATGTTGCGTGATTTTATGTGGATTCCATAAGAACCAGGTGAACCAAGGAACAAACCAATTTTCCAATTCCAAAGCAAATAATTCAACCATTTATCGAACTAGGCTACCATCAACACAAAGAAATAACAACATCGGCATTCACAGTTTTGTGAAAATCAAATTAAATTTTTTGTTTCTATATGGCTTCTTGGGGATGTGCACTCTGCACGACTTTGAATGCCAAGTGATAAATTGCTACACTTTTCTGCATATGTCCACTGAATTTGCATCTTTAACTTGTTTTGGTAGATTATTCCACAGCAGAGGTGGTTCGCAAAGTTTAAGGTGTGTAGTTGAACGCGTACAGAGACTATCAAATCGCTTAGGTAGGTTGGGGCAAGGCTCTCTTTATACACTTATATCATCATGTCCAATCCACACCCCTATTCGTCATACTTCCTCGGGGCCGTGATAATATAAATGAGAGAAATTACGTACTCAGAGCTAAATATTTTACCAATGAAGAGTCTGTAGAACTGATGTTATATGATTATACGGTTTTGTTTTAGTAATGACTCTTGCAGCAGTATTTTGTATCTTTTGGAAGAGCTGAAAATTACAGGATTTTGATAAGGCGGCAATTTGTTTTGTCATGTCCATCGAATCATTGAAGATGACATCAAGATTTCGTACTGATGAAACAGGTTTGATTTCTTCAGATCCGACAGAAATATTGGCTTGCGCAATAGATGTTAAACGGTTCTAAGGTCCAATAGTAATAAATCCCGTTTTGAGTTCAATTTTAAAAGGTTATCATGCATCAATAATCTTAGACTGTCAATACAGCATTCTAGCTGTGCTTTTTTACAGGGATGTCAAACGGTGGTACTACTATGTAGATTTGCGTGTCGTCAGCAAAACAAGGTAATAACCAACACAGTGTTCATGAATAATGTCATCCAAAGGAATAGTGTATACTGTAAAAAGAATAGGACCTAAGACAGAACCATGTGGAACTCCATATTGTATGCTAGTCGGTTTTGATTCAACTTAATTACGATTTTGATAGTTGAACAGCAGAATCTGAAATTTTGACCGGTCAGTCTGTGTCACAGATCATCGTGATCGATGGTGTTAAATGCTGCTGCCATATCTAAAAGTTCTAATAATATTACACATTTTCTGACCATTCCACATAATTCAGGCATGGGTCGAGATAATACCTTCAGATTTTTCAACCCGGTTTCCCCCTGTCAGTGATAGACTGGGCATGGTGTACAAGTGTTCTTGAACAAAGAAAGTTATGCGCCATTTGAGCTAAACGAAGGAAATATCACGTTACATAAAATGCCTTATGCGTGTAAACAAACCGTAGCAAACTTAAAGTTTCTGTAAAAAAGGGTTCATTAGATAAAATAAAGGTTCATCATATCTTGCCGGGTTCATTATTCATTTGGTTTTACCAGTTGTCCACAAATTGAAAAATGTGCCTTCTTACTGTGTCAGTAGATGTAAAAGTAGTGATAACAGATTGACCAAGACTAATTCGACAGCCAAGAATGACCTTGACCTCTGTAAACCTGACATACGCCAGGAGGCGTATGAATCTAATGCTGGCATTAAATGTGGTTGTCCATTTTTTGTCTTTAATATCCACGAGTTTGTCATTGGTTGCACAATTCATGATGTCTTTCTCATGCTTGTATTAAATTCTCTGTAAATCATTTTATAATATTTACATTGATCTATTGTTTTCTGGGGACATTTCTCAGCCACTTCGCTCCGTTTCATAAATAGAAAAATTATTTGTTTTGGGACTGGCAAGTTTTTCCACAATACAATTATCTTTCAATATTCTCAAGGTCATACCGTTTCATTGTTGCTCCTTGCAGACCCGCGTTAGGGCTCTCATTTGTTATCTGGTATGTTAAAATTCTATACATTGACTCATGATCCTCATTTTAACCAATGATTCGAAAAGGTGCAACTCACATCAGTTTAGTCTACATACGTGTAAATGAGTCCAGACAGTCAAATTTGCCCACGTAAGCAAAAAATACATACAAGGCTACCGAGACTCTTATCTCAATGTATGCAGAGATACCAAATTTCATGAAAAAAAACTTTTAGCTGTAAAAGCGTGTAAAAATTTCAAAGAAAACAGCACACTGAAAAAGTACTTGGATCCCCTCTTGCCGTGTTCAACGTTGACTCAATTCTTCCCCATTCTATTTCAGTGCATTGTGCTGGTAGTATACGAAAGCTTCCTGCCTCAACATTTACAACTGCTACTACTACGGGTCAGTATACAAAAAGCTAATTATTTAGTTACATATAATTTTACATTGTGTATCTCCGTAATAAAGAAAGAATTCTCCCAGGAAACGCTTAGATTTATCTATAAGTATTCAAATATGTCTTCGGTAAATTTTTACTTATTTTTCTCAATATTTGTGTTAATGAATATAGTGGCCACTACAACACCAATTCCAACCATACCCCCTAGGACAAAATGTGAGTACAGAATTCCATACTGTCACAATCGTAATATTCTATTATATTTTTGTCCGTATTATTCAAGTTTTTCCCCTACCCGTATCACAGAATAATATGTGAATATAATAATACTACCAACTGCATAATAAAAAGGTATATACACTGTTATCACCCATTTTAAAGGGACAGATTCAGCATTTGTTTGATTAATTGTACTTTAGTTAAACTAATCAGTAATAGTGTTAACAGCTCACCGCCTTCAACCCTTCAAATCCGTGTGTGTCCAGAATTACCCGCGTTTGAAAGTTAAAAAGACTTGAGACTCTGTCTTATGTCGAAAAGGCAAATAGAAATTCATAGTTTGGCGTATTTTGGAAGGAATTATGGTTTTTTCGTACATATCCCACATTTTTAGTACTTTTGAAGATTGTTTACATATATTCAAGGCCCAAATCAAACCCGAAAATGGCGAATCTGGCCCTTTTATAAGATATCAAATATCAATATATTATTGTCATATTTTACAGGAGCTAGATATGTCAGAGGAAGTCAGTCAGCAGCAAATTTATCTCACAGTCTTAAACCCTTACTAATATTACTAACAACCATTATCATGTACGACATTTAATCTTATTTATGATATCCTCTTTTGATATCCAACACTACGAAAGCCTTCTAGGCTTTTTATTTCTGTGAATATATTTTGCACAATTCTAAATTTGGGATTCTACAAGTCGAAATTTTGAGTTCTAAAAATAACAGAATTAACGATTAGAAGCCCATAAACGCTATTTAAGAAAACAGTAATCTGAAACAAAGTGTTATATTTTATATTTTTATCTGCCAAATCAATATTGGCCTACTTGTTTCATACCATTTCCTGCAAGGGTGGTCGGTAATTTTTAAGAGTTACAAGCTTGCAAACACTATTTCCAGCTATAAGACAAATGCGTATGAATATTTTTTTGATTGATTTCGAAGAAGCGAGGATTCTCGAATCATTGTCAGTGCTGTAGATTTTTATATAAATATATAGCAATCTCATCACATGATCATGTCAAGTTTTATCGGTGGGCAGGTAAAAATAACGATATTTCATCAAGAATCGTATTGTCTGTGTAGATTGCTGGAAATGACTTCTTATTCTTCAAAATGTCCGCAGATACCCCCAGACTCCCCTTGCAATACCACACCGTCGGTACTCATGCCCCCGAAATAAAAACCTTGTATCAAGACATTGTTTAATCAATTTACAAAGTTTAAGCATAGACAAAATGAGTCCTCTTAAAACTATATTATTTGAGCAAAAATGGAATCAAATTTTTCTCCACCCAGTGGCGTATTTAGATGGCAATTAAGTGACAATTACACCCTCTAAAGGCTTCAAATTCATCGCAGGCTATCTGAAATCTGTTGGGGGCTTTGACAGACCCATGACATCGCCTAAGGTCTTAAAATGGTTCTTGCTTAGACTGATATTTATTTTCTTTTTTTCCAACAGTTTGTCGAATTAAAATGATAGGAAAACCATTGTATGAACGAAATGTAGGACCAGGTTATGGATGTTGGATGAAAGATTCTTCTGCCTTCACGCAATCTCAAAAGGAAAAAATCTGGGTAACATTTGGTAACTCTGGAGATAAAATGTATGAATATAGAACAATGACTCGTTTTAGAGATGATACTCCTACAAAAGTATACAATTTGGGAAACATACCGTTCTTTGGCACAGGTCACGTAGTCTATCAAAATTGCTTCTATTACCAAGCACAAGACTGGGATAAAATTGTACGGTTTGATTTAATTGTTGGAAGTGCCGTTACTTTAGTTGATCTGCCTGGTGCCTCTTATAAAAATGAAAGATTTTTATACAAGGGTGTCAACAATTATGTTGATTTCTCAGTGGATGAAAATGGATTGTGGATTATTTATTCCAAACAAGAGGGGTCAAATAAATTACAGTTAGCTCGATTAAATGCAATGACATTAAATATAATGAAAACATGGGAGATAGATGTAGAACGTGGAAGTTACGGTAATGGTTTTATGGTTTGTGGTGTGATATATTTTATTCGAAGTGTAGTTGAAACACCGTCAGTGATTGATTACGCTTATGATATTTATACTGAATCTTTACTCACACCATTTCAAGCCCTGGATATCTCGAATCCATATACTCTAAACGTCATGGTGTCATATAACCCACGTGATAATAAAATATATGGTTGGGATCGTGGTAAACAAATTACTTATCCATTATTACTTGGAGGTTAAAACGGAAATCCAATCTTCACTTACAGATAATCAGCAGCAGTTTTCTAACCTCTTAAATATTAATCGGGGACACTGATAGCATCAATTCGCATCATTCCAATTTCAATTGGGCGCCTGTGGTTCCTCCTTATCGCAAAATCTGTTTAAATAAGGCTCTTTGCGATAATGACGTCGGAAAACTCTGAATAGCAGGGTGCCGAATACACAAAGATTTTACAAAACCTCTTTACAATCTCTTGTAGGATGTAATTTCTCTTCATTTAAATTTTTGCTTTACAGTACAATACATAAGGATTTGATGTTAAAAGTTAATTTCAATCGACCTGCATCATATAATGCAAAATCATGAAAAGTTTCAAATTGTAACACTTCTAATATGAATTGAAGAGCACGAACTATTTGATAGTGTGAAAGTCATTTTTCCGAAATACTGATGTATCTCTTAATTTATATCTGGTGAAGTAAATTTTTAAGCTTCAGCTTCTATTTGGACGATTTGATATAAATTTGCTGATGTTCAATACAGGAATCTTCAATATACAACCTCATCTTTTTGTATGATAATATACGCATTGCATATGATGTGTAATATAAGCATGCTTCAATGTATATGACATATTTTATACAATGATTTTAATTAAATATATATAGTAATGTTTGTAAATATAATAACTAAAATATAGGTCTAGGTCTTTCGTACTTTCGTTGATAAAATGAACTTCATTGACTATTTCTTATGATTTATAATATCGGGTTATCATAAATTGACTTCGAGTTGCGCACATATTACGATTGTAAAATGTCTTTTTGTGACAATACTATTTAATATTACTTTTTCTTATGAAGTGTATATATCCAAAGTCAACTATAATATTTTCATTAATGCAAGCCATTCTGCGACTAACAGTACAGTAAGTGATCGGAGCTGGCATTCCAATTCGCCCGAAAATAATCACTTAAATTTGATTTACCAACGAAAGTACGAAACGGAAACAAGTTATATAGACGATTGTTGTATACTGTTTGTTATTATGTTAGTTTAGTTTTCCCAATTCAACAATGGTAACTGTAAATATGATTAGAATGTTATTTTATCCTGATGAACAATTGAAAATAGAACAAATAATGTCATCGCCTTATTTGAAATAAAAATGTACATAATTAATGTGGTATGAATTTACTTATTGATGAGATAGATCTAGGTCGGATGAATAGTGTTTGAGTTATTACTCTCAACTAAGTAAACGTTTCAACTTTGGTTTGCAGACACGATAGGTGCTGCAGCTTGTATCTTGATGAATCCTGATGTGCAAATGAATTTTAATGAAATCTTTTGTTCATAAATGTTACCCTTAATTTCTACTATGAAATAAAATATTTGCCTGTATATTGCCGCAAAACGCATTTGTAACAGCGCGCATAGCGAAAAGATTTTCGTATCGTACCCTTTGTTACGATTGTATATCTAACATCTAAAGGTGTGGTTTACTCCATTCCATGCAACTGTGGTGCCATCTACATTGGAGAAACCTCGTGCCCCATTCGCACCAAAGAGCACCTTACATCCACCAAGAAACAAGATGCCATCTCAGCCCTGTCTGAACACCTCAAGTGCCCATCCCACCACATCCTCTGGGAAGATAAATCCATTCTTGCCAAGAACCTACCCGAAAACAAGCAGAATCCGTGAAGCCCTTGAAATCCACCGCCGTTTCCCTGAATTGAATAGAGACTTTACATCTCCAAAATTTGGCTACACTAATCCCATTGTTAATTACCTTGTTAATCTTTCCCCTCTTTTTCTTTATCTGTTGTAATAGTGTTGGCTTCTACCTCTTTGTCCTTGCCCACTTTATTGTCTGTACCGTTCTCATTGTCTTCATTACCGTTTTTCTTTCTGAACATGGCTTCCTTCTTGTTATATATCCTCATGTTTACCCCTACTACTTCATTTCATCTGATGACGACACGTGTAAATTGTGTTGAAACGTTATGTGTTTTGTTAGTAAAGAAGTGAGTTATACCATAATATACCCCTTGTGTTTTTTTGTTATATCTACTCTACACTTCTAAATTTCGTTCAAATCTTACTAATGAATTAATGTCGAAAAAAAGGCTACAGGGGAGGTAACTAGTATATAAGATTGTTAAGAAATCGTCGGTAATTCATTTGCCATCTGTTTCCATGTTAACTCACGAAATTCATTCTTCAATAACTTTATCCAGAAATCTAGTCGAAAACTTTCCAATATGTTACATAAGAGCATGGCCAATACTTAGTTTCTGAACAAAAAATTCATGACCATGAAAATCTTGAGCAGCCAAACTGACAGTAACCACTACATTTCATTAACATCCACTTGACATTCACTGCACACAAAACGACTATTGCTAGAATTTTCCTTCCGCATAAAAATCTCACAAAAAACTGAGAGAAAATGAAATTCAAAATCTAAACCAAAAATTATTAAAAAAAAATAGCTGGCAAGGCAAGGTAGTATACGCCCACTGGCAGATTTGATTTTAAATAAAAATAGTTGGCAGTACAGTAACAATCACCAGTATGAAATATTCAACCTTCAGACATACACTTCTTTTGAACTTTTTGAGGCGATACTGAATAATATTACCAAGTTTCATAAAAACTGTCCAGAATTGAGCCTTCAAGAGTGTTTACAGGCTAAAATTAAAATGCGTTTTCAAGAACAAAGGCAATAACTCATACTAAGTATTTTCTGATTTTCTGATTTTCCATAGGGTTCATCCTCGGGTCATTACATACACTCACACCAAGATTCGTCAAAATCTGTCAAGAATTGTTTTTCTAGAGTGTTTTCTAGAACAAGGGTGATAACACTCATGCCAAGTTTCATCAAAATCCATCGAGAATTATGCCTTCTAAAGGGCTCACGAGCTAAAAATTGAACGCGTTTCCAAGAACAAGGGTAATAACTCATGCCAAATATTTTTCGATTCTTCTGATTTTCAATAGGGTTCATCCTTGGGTGATTACGAACACTCATGCCAAGTTTCGTCAAAACCCATCGAGAATTGTGCCTTCTAAGGGGTTCACGAGCTAAAAATTGAACGCGTTTCCAAGAACAAGGGTAATAACTCATACTAAATATTTTTCGATTCTTCTGATTTTCAATAGGGTTCATCCACAGGCATCTGTTTCTATCAATAGTCGACCATCTCTATAATAGTATATATATAAGAAGGTGGCTAACGCTCATCCCGCTTCAGACAATTTTCTTCCATATACCGTAATGAAACATATTCCAACGTTATATGAATTGTTTTATTGAATATTTTCCCTTCACACAAGATCTATTTTATATCTCCCTCAGTGTTCCTCTTCATACTAATCTAACTTTTGTTCAATAAAAATACTAAAAATATTTACACCCATCGTGATAATAACAAAGATAAAGCAAACGTTATTTATTTATTTTATTTATTATAAAACAATATCAATATTAATTTTACTTTTCCTTGAACTTCCAATATTTCGAAATTGAATTTTTCTCAAGATTATATAGTTATCGACACTTGACCGCAACATAGTGTAAACCTGGTACATATGATTAGTAAACACTAAGAGATAAGAAAACGTCGATCAAGCGATCTGAACGGTGGTTCAGGCACCCGGTATCGGTAATTTGCTCGACCATGCGGTCATGTATTACTATTTTCTATTTTGATTTGGGTCGTGCGGCTTGTACGTTAATTCTTGATGTCAGATCTATTGCCCCATTGTTCAGTTAAAACATACAGGAAACTTGTTCTGTTTTTCGGTTTTTGTTCCACCCAACTGCAGAACAGAAGTAAAATATAACGCAACCATGGACATTACTTAGCTTATACATGCAACAGAAATTATGAAATTTCGAAGAACAAAACTTAATTTAATTTTTGAAGAATAATCGATGACGTCAATATTAAGGAAAATGTATTTACAGTTATTGGTGTTAACGAGGCTTAATTTGAAGTATTTGCACGTCTTCTCACCTGTCGATGCTGAAATGCTATAAAACACGCGCAAACTTCAAATCTTTCATACAACAGATGAGCTTGGTCTTGACAACATCACTTGAAATTTTATTGAAGTTGTGTTTTCGGTATGTAGAATTAATGTTAGTATTCATCATTAATTATAAAAGTCAGATGGTTAAAACATTTTTTTTCAAATTATACAAAGGTTACTATTATTAAGGATTTGATAGGAATGCTAATGATGGGACACATTGCAATCTATTAAATTAAATTATATGTATTTCCAATAGGTTTTTCGAGTACATGTATATGATAATAAGTTTTTTTGCTGAGTTTAAAAAGGAACATTGTCCGACCGACATTATACGGTACCTGTACCTCGTCCATTAACATCTTTAAACCTTAGAATAAACAACATGTCCAAAGTCCTTGAATGGCATTTAGCATTTGTGAGTACGATATATAGACACAGCTTTATGGAACAACAATCACTGGTTAAAGTTTAATGCAAAGTTTCGACGTGTTCCCCCGTCGTCCTCAGGCACAATTGCATAAAAGTAAAACGTAAACCAATGATTGTAGTTCCATAAAGCTGTATCTATATAAAGAACATGTCTATTTGCCACTGAAGGTTTATAATTAATTTTATTCAAGATCATTACTTTTTTTATTACAGAAATGGAAATTGTCGAAAGTATTCGGAAAAGTGTAACAGAATCGATTCCAGATATTCAACTGGAACAAATCTCAAATTTTTTTCAACGTAATAGCCATTCTTTTATGAATCGCGTGAGAGCCAGTTCTCGGAGTAGAAGAGACCATGAAACCCTTAGACGCACAGAATTTTTAAGAAAATACTATTCAAAAACATCATTTTGTAAGCCACAGCCGACGCAGACAGCGACACCCACAATATTGACTCTGATGCCTACAGTACCAAGAAGAAAACTCTCATCTACTAATTCCACAATATCATACATACCTTCTGTTGCTTCACTTGATGATGGATGTTTTGCAGAAATGTCATCAAGTATACAGATACATAAAGACTCGATATCTGACTATGAATTAAATGACAATGAGATACAAATAACAATCAATCACGAACAAAAGAGAAATTTTTTGAACGTCACAATTCATAGAGTCAATGTAACATCACTACCATCAGATATTGAACACATCATTGCCAGAGTTTATGTGACACCCGGAAAGTTACAAAAGCAGAACAGTAAAAGCATTGGTGTTAAAAAGGCTTCCAGATGGGAACATGAATTTACCTTTAAAAAGTTAACAATCGGGCAATTAGAGGATTGTAGTATACGCTTCCAAATATTCACTACAAAAGGATTTTTTAAAGTTCCAGTTCGTATTGGAAGAGTTTCAGTTGATTTAAAAGATGTAAATATCAGTGATTTCCGAACAACGATACTAAAATTAGAAAGAGATATCTAAATAAATATATTATTTTGTCTGAATGATTTTTTTATTTACAATACCAGGTTTAAATGAATTGCATTATTACACTCGGACACTCGGTCAATCAATTCGTCTGCTTAGCAACCTCCTTCATATAAAGTCAGAAGCCTGTTTTAAAGGTTTTAATTTTTAACCTGTTACCTTTATGCGGAATGGAGCATTGTTTAAATCCAAGATAAGGGTGGTAAAAGTAAAGTCTCAGAAGACACAAGAAATTGCTGCAAACATTACCGAAAAAGCTTTATGGAAAATGTCCAGAATTAAAGAATTGTAAAAATATTGCTGAACAGTTAAACAATAACTATTCGAATATGCATTTAACTATTCGGAAATCTGGAATATAGTTGTATACTTCTTAGATCTTACTCATTTACTTATAACTTATTCTGTAAATTAATCTAACTGTAAAACAAAAGTTTGAATTCTTTGTCCGTTCTTTATTGACAGTTACATACATATTATAAGTAAGTGATAAAATAATATCTCATATTACATAATAATTTTACACTATTTAGTGAGATTGTATGATATTTACAGGTATGGAAGTACCATCGTCTGAAAACTGAACAAAAATTATTCTATATAACCTAAATGCAAAAATATACTATCAAATGACACTGAAAATTGATAGTCGATTTTGCATTGTGGCATGGTTTCTCTATCGCTCATGGCCTTTCATAATCCATGATAGGTAATAAAATTTTTAGAAGCAATGAGAATGTACTAAATGCATTACTTACATATTTCTTCTAGTCTAATCTGAGGGTCCATGGTTCAATCCTGTTACAGGTCTAGATAATGCCTGTCGATTTTTTAACCCGGTTTCCCCGTGTTAGCAAATGTCGATCGGAGGGACTGACTTTGAAATAGCGTCTTGGTGTTCTAATGCGACAATAAACCGAGGCTCCAGCTACCAACTGTGCACGTTAAAGAACCCCCTTTGTAAATCGAAAACGGGTAGGCTAATGACGCTATCCACTGTATGGCGTTAATATTAAATAATAATATAATTCATTTGTAGAGCGCCTACAATACTGCAAAAAAAATAACATTTTTTTAAAAGTGGTTAAAGTTTCACAATCCTTGATATACTTTGGAAGATTGTTCCATAGAAATGGTGCAGCGTATGAGAAAGATCTCTTGCTATAGGATGATTTTGTTACAGGCTGAACAAGCAAATTTTGATTCTTGTAGGGACATAGTGTTTTAACAAGGTTTGGAGGTATTATGGCGAGTCATTGGAATGCAGGGCAAGGTAGGTCAATGAGAGTATTTTAAAGTCTATGTGTGCTTATAGGTAGCCAATGCAGATCTTTTAGTACTGGAGTAATGTGTTCGTGTTGTTTGGTTCTGGTTACAATCCGTGCGGCTTTATTTTGAATCTTCTGTTGTTGATTAAGTTGATTTGCAGGAAGGTTGAACAAAATTGAGTTGCAGTAGTCAAGGCGAGATGTCACGAGAGAATTGACCTAGAGTTTTGCGTTGCCCGACTCTAATAACCCAGACTCTAAAACTCCATTTTTTTCTACAAAAACTACTCTATGTTATTACCATCTATAATATAACTATGTTCTGGTTTTCGTGTACTGAGGAACATGAATGCAAATGTGGAGTTTACGGTGAGATGCCAAATGTGACAGCTCCTGGGAAGTGCATAGACGCAAAACTTTGATAGAGCGAATAAGCATTCTGGCATATTTTGGGGCAAAAACGTGTAAAAGTCATATTTTTCAATTTTGGTAGAAAGGAAATAAGGGTACAATTAGGGGTACAAAGCCCCTGAACGCCCACTGGCCCACATACAACAACAAAAAAATAGCGATAAGCCCACAATTGTAATGGTAACCAAGTTGTCCAGGGGTGCAGTTCAAGTGCAGTTTTATATAATTTTCAAGTGTTGTTTTTTGATAGATCATTAAGCGTTTTTTACCAAGTGAATCACTCTTAATGGCGTATGGCCTTCAGAAACCAGCTCTCTATCATGCTCAAAACACATTTTTAATTAAGGGATCGTGGTCGTTTAGAAACATTCACATCAAATTTTGTCAAAATCCTGTAAAAAAAAACAGCCCTTTATCATGTCCACAACAACGTACAGACAGATAGGCAGGGGTGAAGACTATATACAACCACATTAATGTGTGGGCGTATAACAACTTGATCTGTGCCTTTTGATACTCTTCTTTTGGTCGTATAACTATGCTTTTCAAACCAACCAGCTCAATTTCAGCGACCCATGTCACTTTTAAGATTTACATATGACTACCATTTATCTGACAATTCAACACTATCGTCAACTCCAAGGGGCTATTGGCCGACGTTCAATCAAGTAAAGAAAGGAATAACATATCTCACTAGAACCGGTCAAGTATACAAGCATGAGATAAGTAGACTGCAAAAGATGTAATTGAATTTGAATCGCGTATCCCGGATCAATTGTAATTTATCACTAATATACGATTCACTTTACAATAATCATAAGCTTCTAGCACAATTTGGTAATGGGTCTTTCCAAGGTACTCGATTGTGTTTTAAGTTTCGCGATTCGAACTAAACGGTTTCTGTCTGGTTTTGTGTCTATTACACGGGCTAAAAGTCCATGAGTTTCTTAGGCTATTATCTTATATCATGACGACATCTCCGACTTTGGTATTTCGCTGAGGTTTTAACCACTTCTTACGCTCCTGTAGGTTTGGAAGATACTCCAAAGTCCGATGTCTCCAAAAAAGATCGGTAAGATATTGGACCAGTCTCCATCTATATCTAACATACATGCAAGTTTTGTTAGTAGGAGTTGGTGACAATTCATCATTATATCAAGTCAACAGTAGATGATTGGGGATAAGTGTATCGAGATCATCTGGCGAATCTGGCAGTTTTGTAAGTGGTCGAGTGTTTATTACAGATTCGACTTCGCACATAAGTGTAGGCAACGATTCATCATTTAGCCTGTGCAATTGGTCTCTTTGCAGGGAAATAGAACCATTCTGATAGTTGGAGTATGTTAAATCTCCAATCGATGTTCTGTTTAGCCATAGTGTAGGCAATCTTTGTATCATCCCAGTGTTTTGTAGTATGTCGTAGTTCCTTTTCGGCTTCAACTAGATTGGTACCATTATCCGAACGTATAAAACGAGGTTTTCCTCTTCTTGCTATAAATCGACGCATTGTATTGGTGTATTGGAATCGGTATCAATGTAATGGGCTATCATAATGTGAACGGCTCTTGTGATTAAACAGGTGAATATGACGCCGTATCTCTTCACCATACTTAATCGTTGTTTAATTTCATACGGGCCAACGAAGACTATCCCAGTATATTCAAATGGTAAACCACTAGGCGTCATTCTTTCAGCAGGAAGACAAACTATCTCCTGATTGTTTATCTTCGCAGTATGCCGCTTACAACTGCTTAATATACTTTTAATGATACTTGTTACCAACTTTTTGATGGGTATGCTGAGTCAAAAGGTAAGACAATTTTGACTGTTTAGATAGTATTTATCTGATGTTTGGCTTCCGCAGGTATCTGTGATCTTTCTAAACGTCCGACCATTAGGATACCATTTGTTACTTATGGATCCAGTTTCGACATATACTCTTCCATCACCATCGAATTTTCTTCTTTGAAATTTCCAAAATATGCAGTTTGTTCATGTGTAATGTGTGTTTCTTCAGCTTCATTCAGGTTTTCAGTTATGACCAATTTTATTTATTGAATTTGTCTTGTTTCGTCTTATGGATTTATGTATTTTGTATTACGGTTCTGATCGATTGTACTTGGTATTTATTTTATTCTAGATTTTACCATAAAACTATAGTTTAGATTTCCCTAATTATAAATAAAAAGAAAATCGATGCGGGACAACAGATTAAAATATTTCGTTTCATGTGAAACAAATTGCCATTCCGGTTTTTATGAGAAACCTTTAGTTTCGTTTTTCAAATCGTTTTTGTGCACGATGCGGCAAGTTGTGCAATGCGGGAAAACGAACCCAACGGATATTGTGACATTCTTCATTTGACTTACTCTGGCTTTATCAAAAATTAAACGGCAAATTATTGTTCCCTTGATATACATTAAACGCAAATAACTCCATAGCCTCGTTGACTTGCATCTGAAAAACTACGGACTTGTGTGGATGAAATGTCTTCCAAATCGGGAGTCTTGACACACCTTGGTATTCTGACGTGCTCAAGGTCTGGTAGTTGTTTGAGCCATTTCGACTATACTGGTATCTACTTTACCTTAATTTGTTCATCCCGCGCAAGTCTTTGGTGACATAGTATATAGTTCCTGTAATAACAGTTCCGGTGGTAGAAGTGCAATTATGGACAGGAGTACTCTTCTAGTAGTTGGTTGATTCTTTACATTTATCTTGAATGTTAAATTATCTGATGCTTTATCCCAATTTACTCCAAGTGCTCTCTCTACCATGTCGTTGTTTTCTCCGAAAGATAGTTGTTTTGATGCAGCTCTTTCAAATACTGAGAGACGTAAACTATGCCAAGGACAATACCTCAACAGCTATTCTTTCAATAATTGGCGAATTTGAACTTGATCGAGAGCTCATCAATGTTGGCGTTTAGAATGGTAAGCACGCGATATGTGTCAACAGACGGGAGGAGGGTGGCAAGTCTAACAGCACATAATCCAAAACATTTTTGGTTGTTTGCAGAAATATGTATTACTGTTTTTCGTCGAAAAAGATATTTTTGCAAACATAAACACGAGCATTCTATAAGCTGCATTTTGATAACACTGCTAGCCAATTATATTTCTTTCCTCGCAACGTTTGGATTTTATGTAAATTTTATATGAATGTTCAAGAGATCAGTAGTTAAACCCTAAGTGGCTGTATAAAAATAAAAGCTAATAAAAAAAGGAACGAAAGTTTGGTCTAATTTTAATCAGACTGGCATCTGCGCATAATCATATTAACCAATTTTTTTATATAAAAATGTTATACCCCTTA